ATTTGAGATTCAGTTCAAGTACTAAGATTTTTATCTGTATAAATAACCAGAGAAACTTTCCACCTCAAAGATACTTTTTTTAAAGGCTCAGTAATACTCAAGGCCATAAGCAATAGAAGACACACTGGCTGTGCCAACTGTCCTGGATATATTTTACAGTGACATATCATTTTGCTTACAAGTAAGACACAGCTCTTATCTGTAACAGAATAGCTAGCACTGGCAGAACTGGAAGCCTGCACATTTTTCATCTGGAAACAATAATGGTAAGGAAATATTTAAAAAATCTTAAAGCAGATAGTACTGAAGAAAAAATAGTCAAGTAAATACAGTGCGAGATATGAATAAGGGAGCAAACTGGGTTTTCTAAAAAGCATACACTCCCCTCTCCACAATCTGCTTAGATTATTAAGGAGAAATGGAGCCACAGAGGAGTGAAAGCTTATCTATCACAGTGACCAACAATGAGACACTGCACTGTGGGATGAAGCCAGAACTGCTTCATCCAATTAGGTGTTGTTTTGAGAAAAGTAAGTAAAATTCTTCAACAAATCCCCTTCTTCTGAGCAAGAACTAGTTTCTTGACTTTCACCTTCAATTTCTTTTTATTCAATCCCAAATGAAGTCTTTTAACACATGATGCAGATTCTCTTCTTTACCTTGAACCTTTACCTGATTACGTAAGAAAGAAAATGCTACTGCCTTCTTTAAGTACCACTCTATTACAGTAGCACAAGCCTCACATGGAAAAGTAAAAGTACATTAAATAGTAGAAACAGGAACAGATAAAAAATTGGAAGCCAGAGAGCACTGAAAGTGCATTTGTAAATTAATTATATCCCAGAAGACATTGAGCAAAATCAGGGGTTCAGTGGATGTTGTCTTCTTAAAGAACCTCCTTCCACCACAATTCATAGAGACTAATACTGGTTTTCTCATCTCCCTAGAGACTACTCAACTGAAAAGCAGTAAAACTACAATTCTGAGGGAACAAGCCTTTAGTGTCTGAAGCCCTAAGGACGTTCAGTAAGAATTTTGGAAGTCTCCCTGTGAGGGAAGCAATTAGAACCTAGTAATGGAAGCAAGAGCAGACTCCAAGCAGGGTTATAACTAAAAGAAGCAAGCAAAGTGCGAGTTTTCTGTGCCAGTTGATCTGTGGGGACTTAACAAAGAAACTTTTCTAGAGTTCCTTATTCCAGTTCTAATTCTTCTGCTGAGGTATAATTATTACTGCACCAGGTAACTTGCAGTCTGAAGTGGACAGAGTCCAAGAGATGAATCACAGTTGCAAATTTGATTTTCCAAAATCTGTTACTGATAGAGCTACATTTCAGTTAAAATTTTAATAGCCATGAGAAAAATAAAATATAGGAAAAAGGAGATATACATAGGAAAAATCTAAAAAGCAGAAGGCAAAATGAAGGCAAGACTGTAGACACAACAAGAATTCAAAGTAGTATGAAAAAAGAAACATAATGGAACTATTTCATTTAAAAAAAAAAGAGGCAGAAGGAGTGAGGAACCATACCCAAAACCCTCCTCCAACCAACAAAATAATCTATCAGCCAAGACAGCTGTAATAATCCAAGACATTAAGCAACCAATGAAGCTGCAGCTATTTCTGTCTTACTCAAACAATGTTAGAACAGCACTAGCAAACCTGTTCCTGTAGGTGGCCTGAAAAGTAGAATCCGTGTCAGTTATCATGCCAGTTATCTGAACAATGCACATGTTGCTGCTTGTGAAGTATTTTCAGAGAATACTTTTTAAATTAAATTTTATACCATCATGGTAACTCTTCAACATAATCTTTGATACACAACAGCTTGTGTGCAATGCCTTTTAAATCTAAAGCTGCTTTCTACAGGTGAACTCAAAAGTATTGCATTACTGTAAAAGAGATTCCACGTACCTTTGTTTTCCTTTCTCATCCATATTTTGATCTTGTATAAGGTCTCGACGTGTTCGCTCTTTGGAGGTAGCAACAACAGAAGATGGCAACGCTGGCTACAACAAAGAAAACAAACTACTTTGTTCATCATGTTGCAGGTAGGTTTCCTCTTGCACAGCTCCATTTACTATATATTACCTTTTTAATATCATCATCCTCTGCGTCGCTTTCTTGGCGTGATTCTCTTCTTGTCCGACGTTCTCCACCCAGCCTGAGGAAGAAAGTCAGTGGTCATTAGAGAACATGTATTTAAGAGAGAATCTCTTCCACCATAAGAAAAATACAAGCATGCCTAGTGAGAAGAACCAACACTTTGGTATAAACCTCCTCACTGTTCCAACAACCAGTAAGTAACATTTTACAGACAGAATCTACTGTTGGTGAAAATCAGTGACACAGAACAGTTTAAATTTTAATACAACTTGTAGTGTAATAAAAGCAGAAGAATCTGCAAATACCATTTCTGGCTTTTTAAAATACATTTGGAATTTATTCTTTTAAATCTTTGTGCTTTTCCAGAACCTCTAAAACAGCTACAGGTATAAAGGAATCACTAAACAGTGAATCACTAAACAGTGAATGCACTGACATGGAAAGGTACAATTTCTTAAACAGGAAATGCTATTTAAGTTACCTACCAAATACCTATGGGAGAGAGGCAGAAGGCTTACCACTTGAGACATGGATTAACTAAAGGCTTTAACAAAAAACAACTTAAAAGAAATAATTTAAATAAAATAAATCCTAAAATAAATAATTAAAGTTGAAGTTACTTTCAGCCTTCATTTTCAGCTTTGTGGCACAGGACTTTCCTATTTCTCAGCTACATTTTCTCCTAACTCAACAATTCTAAAACAAGCTTTGCTTTCGTCAAGAGCTACCGTTGCACATGAAGTGCCCACAGCACTTAAGCCCACTATAATCAATCCATCTGATGGATTTGCATCCAGACGTGAAAACTCAAAACCCAAGTCCATTGTCACATTGCCTGTATTCAATTTACTGAACAGAAGGTCTCAGGCATAATTCAATTTGTGTTTACTACAAACAAATGTCAGTGCTAAGAAAAACGTAATATATTTTGTATATTGTATGGGAAATAAAACCAGAAAATTCCAAATATCTTTGCATATCTTTATATTATTGCTACCACCTTTATGTTACTCTAAGGCATGAAAAAGATTTCACCACAGTGACTTGCTATCATCCAAATTATTCCCAACAAGTCTTGAATAAATAATCTTCAAAGAAGACAGTGAAAGTCCCTAGTTATTACTAGTTTTTGGTTTACTGTTACAAATTCTCATCTGGAAAAGCAAGTTGGCTGCATTAGTTTTTGCACTCACCTACTGGATGCACCTTCAAGATCCCTCTGTTTGGCTGGGGGTCCTCCTCCACTATCCGAGAATCCACGCCTAAAAAGAAAACACTTGTGGTCTTAGAACAAGTTAGGTTAATCCCTGAACCACCTCAAGTCTGCAAAACTGAACTATAACTTGGCTTTATGGTCGTGATTAAACATAAATTTTACTCAGCTCGATCACCACTTACTGTTAGTACTGCAGTGAAGTGTTCAAACACGTTGCTTCTGAACTGCCTAATTTCACCTTGAATTACACTTATTTAACTGAGTAGCTACACTGAAACAAGCATCCCATTGTATTCAAATAATCTTATCTCCAGTAATTTTCAGGACGTCGTTTTATCTACGTAGTTTAAAATCCCTCCTGGACCACCTACTAGTTTTTTAATTGCCAGAGACTGATCTTGAATGATTTCAAAGACAAGGTCCCAGCTACCACACAATACCTCCCTTAATTTTGATGTTTCTCCTTATTTTTCAGTCTAACAGCTGAGAAGGTCGGGGAAAACCACCCATCTGAACTTGTAGCAACTCAAAATGAAAAGGCGCTTTAAATTTAACCTCAAAAGCCCTGCAGGCCAGCTCTGGTGCTCATTCAAACAGCACCGCAGCGAGCAGCGGAGGCAATCCAGGAACACACGACACCCAGCGCAATGGCACGAACCACCACCGGAGAATGGATGGATGAAACTCCACTGTCCGTTCTGCACCTCCTTACCTTAGCAATAAGCTCCCACGCCCTCTACCTCCACCGGGGCCTGTGAGGGCTAACAGCCTGTTTTGAGGGGGCCTGAAAGAGACGGTACGCGCTGTTAGTGGTGCCTGCCCGGCCGCCGGGGCGCTGCTGCCCGCCCAGCCCAACGGCCCCGCAACCGTTCCGTTCTGTGCCCCCCCGCCAGGGGCAGCACCCCCCGATCGCCGTCCCAGCGGAGCGGGCACAGTCCGCAGAGGGACGGGGGGGAGCCGCGGCCGGCTCCGCGCCACTCGCCCTGCAGGCCCGACGCGCGCCCCCACCCCGGCCGGCCCTTCCTTCGCGGGACAGCGGCGCGCCTGGCGCTCCCCGCCTCACCTCACATCATTGGGGTCCCGGCCCGTGAGCTTGCGGATATTTTCGTCTACGTGCTTGAGGCTTTCCTTGGCTTTCTCCAGCTGCTCCTGCAGCGCGCGCACCGCCACCGCCATCCCGCCCGCCGCGCGGCCTGGCCGGGCCCCGCGCGAGGCAGCGCTGGGAAACAGGGGGAACAGGCCCCACCCACTCCGGTGGCCGCGGGCCGGGACAGCGCAGCCAATTGCACCCCGGAGCCTCCCCCGAGCGCCAATCAACGGGCACGAGAGGTAAGGGCACGCCCCTCGGGGCTGCTCGCCAAAAGCGCTCACCAATCACAGAGCTCGGCGGCAGACTGGCATCCCGCCCGTCCAACTAGCGGAAGGCTCTGCCTGCTAGCTCGACGAATCAATGAAAGGGACGGCCGGAGTGACATGACACAGAGCTAATAAGAACTCGAACGTCATTTCCTTATGGCCCAATCAGAAAACCACTTCGGGGCCTCTTGTTCCCACCCATCCTGCTCTCCCACTCTCAATGGGGCCGAGGAGCCGGCACACTCGCGACTCGAGCGAGGGCCAATCACCGCTGCGCTACGAGAGGCGGCTGCGCCCGCCGAGCCAATAGACGGGAGCGTTACTTGACGCTGGCGGCCTGACGGCGGCGCGTGCCGGGGCTGCTCCTGCCTTCCCATCCCGCCCGGAGCGGCGTGGCAGGGAACCTCCGTACTGCGCGTTAGTCATGGTGCCCTGGGCGGCGATGCTTTAAACCACGTTCTTCCCGGCTGCAGCCGACGTCTCTCTGTGTCTCCCTGCGGTGGGCACGGGAAGGCACGGGCGCTGTCTTGAAGGCGGTGACATAGGCGCGCCCCACCTGGTTCCAGCAGTAGGGTGGGCGGGGTAGCTCCGCAGGAGGGGCGCGTTTGATTCCCCGGCTCCGACCCTCACTCGGGACCCTGGGTTGCTGGCGCCACCCGAGTCCGCGGACTCTGCAGAGCCTTAACGGGAGAGCCCCTTCTCGCAGCGCTTCCCGGGCCGGCACTGCTGGGCCGCCGCGCCTCGGCCGGACGCTCCCGCGGGTGTCCGGGCCCGCCCGGAAGGGGCGGCGGCCCCGGTGATGGCGGACGAGGCGCTGTTCCTGCTGCTGCACAGCGAGATGGTGGCGGGGCTGTACCGCGCCGCCGAGCAGGGCGAAGGGGTGAGTGGGGCCGGGGCCGCCCCGGGGCCGGCCGGCAGCGGCCGGGGCTGACGCTGCGGCCGTGGCGCCTTGTGTCTTGCAGGAGAACGGGCGCTGCACCACCAAGCTGGAGAGCATGGGCTTCCGCGTCGGGCAGGGGCTCATCGAGAGGTGAGTCCCCCCGGGCCCTGGCAGCCGCTGCTCCTTCTTGGGGCTTTCACCCGCCCGGGAAAAGTGTGGTGCTTTGGCTGGATGGAGAGCGCGTTCCTCTTACCATGAATTGTTCTGGCATCTCTTTTTGTATCTCATTCTTGTCGGGACCTGTGTTTGCTTATCACGGGACAGTTTTGGAGCGTGTTGTTTTCCTAGTGCTTCCCGTCATGAAAACCGAGTCAGGGTATATGGCTACTTTTAATTCTTAAAATTATCTTCAGTTCTACTTTGTGCAGACTTTTGCATGTTTCCTGCTTTTGGTGTGTTTTGTGACTTTATTCTTCTCTCTGATTTGCTTCTTAAGCATAATTGTATGATTGGCTGTTACTCTTACTTCGTTTTTGTAAAGTGCTCTCTGTCCTTGCGACTTCGCAGGTCGGGCCCTTTGGGGACCCGCGATGCAACTCCAGTGCCCTCGATCTGAGGCCGTGTGGAGACAAGATCTTGAGTTTCTGAAGTCATGGTTTTGTTGGATAAAATGGTCCTTTAGTGCCAGATAAAGACCTCAAGGAGGATAAAGGGAGAAAAATCTGAAATAAGCAAGAGAAAGAGTTCCTTCTGAAAAATGGGAACAAGTTTTACATGCTTGTTCCTATGTTACAGCTCTTTTCCCTAAGTTGAAGGACTCCTTCCAAGGAGTAGTATAGGTGTGAGCATTATGTTTATCTTCTGTTTAGATAGCTCGTTGAAGATAAAACTGATAGAGCACTTTGCACCTTTCTGTATGTCAACTATGTTTGATAATCATGGAATTAAAACAGTTTATTCTGCTGTCATATTGCAGATACCAAGATAACACTGCTGCTCTTAAATTAAATACTTGATGAATGCACAGTGCAGCTAGAATGATACTGTATGATGATTGGAAAACTAATTTCTATAATAACCTCAAAAATTATGTTGTAATATTGAAACCTTAAAAATTATGTTGTACCATTTAAAAAAATTATTTCTTTGCTTAATTGGTGAGGTTATGTGTACCATCATTATTGATACATTCCTTACTTTTCTCTTAGGTTTACAAAAGATACTGCCAGGTTCAAGGATGAATTAGATATTATGAAGTTTATTTGCAAAGATTTTTGGACAACGGTATTCAAAAAACAAATAGATAATCTAAGGACTAATCACCAGGTACTGTAGATTAAGATTTAACTTAGAGAGTCGGTGAGAGTTTTGAGTTGCTAGTGCATTTTTTGTTTTTCTTGGTCTAGAATTAATTACCAGATAAGAAACCCAAAATGCTGCATATCCGTTTTGTCTAAAAAGTGTGTTTTTCAATATTCATATTATCATGTAGCTTTAGAATATAATTTAATAATTGTATGATGTCTTTATTGCCACCCTACTTGAAAAGACTAAATGTTTTGAATTTCACACGCGCTGTTGCCGCGTTACAGAAAGGACAGTAATGATTATAGTTGATTAACATTTAAACAAGAACTTTTTAATCTGTCTCTTAATAAGCATTAGTTAAAAAATAGTGAAAAAATGATGCTACTCTCTCAACATCTATTTAAATAGAATGGCTGCCGTGAAGTGATTCTTTTACTTTGAAGAATGTTAAGAGTTTTCAGCAGTAGAGACAGTTGTCATCTGTTGAAAACACTTGTATAAGAAACAGCAGAGAAACTAAAGATTTGCATGTTGGCGATGTGCTGTATCCATGTGCTCTCCTATATCAACAGCCTATAGCCTTTCCTATATCCACAGTTCTTAAAGCCAGATCAAAGTAACTTAAGGAGACATTTTACTAAAGTAAAAAAATCTTTTTCCTGTTGAATGACTTGGTTTTCTTATGACTGTTTCCCTGTTGTGTCAAATTAGGAAGAAGAGAATTTGTACAAGGATTGTGCCAAATAAAATAGGTTTTATTTTTCAGTGACATGTTTATCAAGTAATAACAGATAATTATTACTTTAGAAATCTGGGGTTTTAATTCAAAAAAGTTGCAGTATATAGCTTAAGGTTTTAATTGTATATACAATTACGTATATAATGTATATACAATTAAGTTCAAGACTTATGAATATTCCGAAGTAGCACAGTCAGTAACAAGGAAATTAAAATAGCAGGTGTAGATAAAGCTATATTGTGTTTATACTTAATTTATTAAGACGCATATTGTTGCACAAAATTGTACTGTAGAAAATGCCAGACTTCTACTTCGAGTGTCTGCTGGGTGCTTTTACCTGTGCTGCTGTTAAAGGAAAATAATTCCCACTGAATTTGAGAAAATAGAGATGTGCAAAACCCAATGAAGATTGAGATTTGAATATAAAAATTAGTATGCATTTGATATAATACCAAAGACTTTCTACTATGGAACTATTTTTTCTGATCACTGGAAGGACTCTTCCAAGAAGAAATGTACATACACATTTTTTAGGGTTAACTGATCACATTATTATCTAAGGGTTTTGTTGTATACTCACAAAAAGGTATATTTCCTTTCGATAGTCCTTGTAAGTAAATAATGCAATTTAAACTTAAATCACATAAGCCTTAATATAAAATTTTATTTTTCAGCCTGAGATTATGTATATTTTATCTACAAATCCATTCACAGAAAATGTGATTTTATATTACTGCACATTTAACTAAACTCCTCAATTTTTTCTTTTTAAACAGGGTATTTATGTCCTTCAAGACAATAAATTTCGTCTCTTGACACAAATGTCTTCAGGAAAGCAGTATTTAGAACATGCACCAAAGGTATCCTTCGATTTAATTGGTGGGGGGGGTCTACCAGTTTGGTTTTAATTACCTTGATCTATTAATAATTTTAAATTTTGTCATTAAATAGATACAAACTTTTCTAAAGGCTAACTGAAGATACACCTTCAGAACCTGTATGCTTTTAGAGAAAGGCATTCTGTTTTAGAACAGTAGATTTGTAGTTCAAAAAATGGTCCCAGTTGTTGTGAAACTTGCTGGTGTTATATTTGAGTTACTTCATGGTGAAAGCTTGTCTGCTACTACTTGCTACTGTCACACAAATTCTTTCTTTTCAGAAGGCATGTGTTTTCAGAAACATTTTTTAAAATTCCAAAAACACATTTGGAAGATGCTATTTGTTACATAAAACAAGCTTCTGAGATGATATGAATGTTCAGAAAGATCTTCCACCAATTAAAAATAATTTTGAGTGCAGATTCTGAGTTACGGTAATAGTTCAGATAAAATCAGTCCCTCTGCAGAGCCTATCATAGAGCACTTTAGTTCAGGTGGATTAAGAAATGGGACATTCAGTTCTATTTTATGGTTTCTTAACTCTTGATCTTAGTCCTTCCAATGGCTACTGCCCTTGGGATTTTTTTTCTTTTTTTTGTTTTGTGAAATGTTTCTTCTCTTTTGCAACACACATTTTAAATATCTTCAGGCCTTTGTATTCTAAGGTATGGCCTGTGCAAGAATGCTGTCTTAGACTGTTTCTCTTTTGTTGACTTTAATACCAGTTGCTAATTTTCACCAAATCTTGGGAATAATAGTTTTAAGGATATTAAGTTCCTACAGGTCTAAAGGAAAGTGACTCAAAATACTGCCTCTAATGAGAATAATCTGTGTGGGGAGCTCCACTACCAAATATTGGAGCATTAATCTATTAGAGACCTGACAATGTCTGTCAAAACTTCCATGGATTTCTGTTGTCCAAGTATTAAGTTGTGGTCTTGATTACTTAGTTTCAAGCTTTTTCAACAAGCTGTGCTGCAGAAACTCAAATGAAGTGCAACTTTGTATTTAGTATTTAGCATTCACCTGTGGACTAATCAGAGGGGGCCTATCAAACCTGGGAATAAAGAGTATTGTAACAGCTGAAGTTTCATCAATGCCTGCATGTAAGTAGTACTTAGAGTATTCAATTTTATTTGTTCACTTGGTAACTTTCCTGACTGACTGTGTTGATGTTATAAGCATTTTTCAAGGTGGAATTTGTTTGAAGCTGCTGGGCCACAGGAGTCCATGTGAACTTCAGGGTATGGCTTGCCACTAAATCCTTTAGTACTTAGAAACCGACGGAGTGATAAGCCTCCATGATGTTGAGTGTAAAGCAAAACTAAAAAGTTGTATTTATATTTAGAAGCATCAAATGTGTAAGGATGTGTGTCCAGAAAGTTATTTGCACAAGTGAAGATCTTTCTCTGTAGGAGTCATTAAGAAAGTTAGTAAGTGAAGACCATTTTAACTACATAAGCTGCTCAACTGAAAGTTTTCCACAGACTCAGCACAAATTTTAGATGTAGCTCACAAAACTTCTGTGTTGTGGGATGTAGTCAACTTACAGAAAAAAAAGAGAAAAGCTGTTCAGTGTGGAACTAAAATTTAAATGCTAAATTTAAATAATGGATCAACTGCTTACAATTAAACTGTAAGATTGAAATCTTCCATACTATTTATTTTTAAAAAAAAATTACAAGAAAATAATGACTTGGAGAAATAATTCTAATGGTAATAATGTGATCTGACTCTGCTTTTCCTGCAGGTAAATTTCAGGTGATGATACAGAAGATGTAGAACAGATTCAAATCTGGGTATCTACTTTAAATAGCCTTTGTATGTGGATTCAGTATCTTGGCTCAGTCTTGTATATAACATGTAAATTATAGCAGTGTGCAGCACAATTCCAAAATATATAATAAATGCACATGGAAATAACACTATGCTTGTGTCTTGGTATGAAATTTATTCTACACCAAAGTAATAATATCCATATGGTAAAAAACTGTGTATTTCACATATTCAGCAAAATACATCAGTTACCAAAAGAGCCTGGAAGACCAGAGGCAGAGTTTGAGAACAGAGAGAAATCCTGACCAAGACTAAATTTGAGTAAGAAACTAATGTGTGTTGTGTTGCCCAAGGTGAATGCCCAAGTGCTACCATTCCCCATTACCCTTCTCTGAACTGGGGGACAGTGATTGCTTTTGTATTTCTTTGATGGAGCCCATTAGCACGTGAGCAAACAGCTCACACATCATTAAAGATGTTAGGTAGAGACATTTGTAGGAATGTTGTTTGGAGCAGTAGAAGAAAACTTGTTTTTACATAGTTTAGCGTTTTCTCCTGTCCCTAAAATTAGCAGCTGTTCCTTGTGTCAGAATGATTTATGCCTAGGGTCGTCTATACTGGCCAAAGAAGGAAATTTATTCTACCTTGTGCATAAACTCAATATTAATGTAATTGTTTTTAATTGCTAGCTATGGTTTACTTTTGTAATGTACTACTCAAGAAATAGTAATGTTTACATTTTACTGAAACAATTGTTTCAGTAACATGCTGACTATAGTTGAACTGCTAAACAGTGCTAGAGCTCAAGCACCAAAACTTGAAAAAACATAGTCAGCCTTAACTGTAGATTTCTATAGTAAGGCTGCTGTTAAATGATAAGGAATGAGAAAACCCACAGTGTTTAAGAACAGTCTTTAAAATTCTTTAGTTTTATTAAAAAAGTCCTCAATAAGTCTGTTAGAAAAAGAGTAATTTGTATTATAACCTCAGACTTCACCTAATAGCAGTGTCCGTAGATTACTCAGATTGTAGAAATTTCTAACCAGGCATGTAGTTTACAAAGACAGGAGCTTGAGAGATGATGCTGAACACTTCAGTTACCACTTTATGATGATGGTGATGATGGTATTGGAGACATGTCAATCTCAGCTAAAATTCAGCTGAACTTATTCACAGCTGTCCCAAATGCCTTAGTGTGAGGGTGTTCTGAAGGGATTGTGTAATACTTCAGGTCTGAACTGTGCCATGTCTCGCTGTTAACTCTGATAGTGCTGTTTGTACTGTGGCAATGCAAAATACTGCATGCTCCCACAACACCCTAGGAAGGCTCGTCAGCCAGGTCATGTTGATTGAAGTACCTAGGAATGAAGCAGAATATGGTAAGAAACCTTCAATGCAACATATTCCTTACTTCGTCATGTTGTCTGACCCACTGCTTTTTCTCGCTCATCTTATAGTGTTGCTATCATAATTATGGCTTCATGGTTCAGAGGGCTCATCTGAAGAAAGGAATAAACTTACTTTACTCTTAGATATATCTTAAATCCTTTTAGCTAAGTATAGTTGCTGCATTGGCCCAGGGTACTTTTAGTGACTTTCACTTTTAAAAGTATTTAGGTCAGTACAAATAATCACACATTTATGCTGGACATACATTACTGGTTTAGGTGTCTAAGTTGCGTTACCTGCTAACTAAGCAGATTATCAAGTTCAGAGCTGATATTTGTTCTTCATTCTTGCTCTCCTGGAAAAGACATAAATATTACAACAATTCTTTTGTTACCTGTGTCAAATAGAGAAGCTGTTACATGCCATGTTATGTGTATTTGTAGTCTCCCCTTCATTCTCAAGCAAACTTAGGACATGAAAAATAAATTACTAAGACTTCTGGAAAGTTATCCTCCTTACCTGCTAAATTCACCAAATCCTCTGCACAGTTATATTAAATCTTACCTCCAGTGCCCTGACTTCTGAACATCGTCTTGCTAGCTGTCGAATAAGGGAGTGAGCTTCAGGTAGCAAAGGTTTTTCAAGGCATGCCAGCAGTGCATAAAGCCATCTACCCTGTCAGGATTCAAATAACAAACAAAGTTTTTTAATTCTGATAATTTTCTTGGAGATCCAAACAATTCATGTTATATAGAGCAGGACTCAATTGTCGATCTCAAAACAAAACTGCATTCAACTGCTATATATCATAATTGAATTTTGAAAACCACATTTGACGCTACATGGTAGAGAGTTCTGTGTCTCTAGATAAAGGTTCTTGTGAGCTCTGCTCCTGGGTTTCCTGGCATTTTTTTGAATGCTGGCCAAGATATAAATTATTACAGCTGATGCTATTATAGTCTGAAGGAAGAATTATTTTAGTAATATCTAAACATTATTACTTGGCTATTAATTTTTAACTTCACAATCTGTGAAAAAACATTCCTGAAGACTAAATGTAGGAACTCAGATCTTTGTGGAATTAGTGGTTAGATCTGCTTTAAGATTTGCACCACTGTGAAAGTATGTCCTTTGAGTTTTTCATCCCTGAATTCTACTACTTTCTTACAAACTTAATTTCTGGTACCAGTCTAATTTCTTAATTTAATCACAGTGTCTACTGGCTTTCATTCTGGGACCTAACCTAAAAGTCAATGTGCACATTCTCTGCAACATACATACTGGTTAAAAAGAAAACAGTCTTCTACAGGAAAGGACAGAAAATGAAAGGTCTTTAAGTGACTGAAAAAAAATAGTGAAACTATGCTAAGAATTACAGAATTTTTCACTACTCTTTTGCTTTGTCATCCTGAAGGAGAAGACCACCAAGGTCTTCTGTAGATATGGTGCCATTACATAGCTGGTCAGTCTAGTTGTGGCCAAACTCCATGCCAATGTGGCCTGTCAATCAGGAGTTCTTAGTAGATTTGATTTGTCACCAGATGAATGCAGCTAAGCTTTCTGTTCTGTGCTGCATGTGGAAAGATTAGAGGTGTCTTCACCAGCACACTGTAATGTGACTCCAAACTAAACTGGAGGTGTTGATAAATAGTGTGCAGCACCCTGACAGAACCAAAGTTGCTGTGATCTCTCTCCTCTCCTAAACCTTGAAACTCATCAAGCCTCCTGGCTTAAGTTAGTGGGGCGAGTGATGAAAATGGGAGGGAGTTTGGGCAGTACCTTTTCTGTCTGCATCTGTTATATTTTATGATTTTAGCCTTCCAAAATCGACCGTGAATACTCACTTTAGTATCTAATCAAGAAAGTTTTTAAAGTAACAATATAATACAACCATTTAGAGAACTCTTTAGAAAATGAAAGTAATAGAAAATGTCAAGGAATTTATTTTTTGTTTAATGCATCAATGTGCAAGTAGTTAGAATAAATTAAAAATTACCAGTTCTGGAGTAAATTTTTTCTCTCCAAACCAGCTTATCAGGTATTCTAAGACACTGGTTACTGTTGCCTTCAAAAGAGGAACAGAAAGAGACAATATAGTATCTGCAATGTTTTGTTTTGCTGCTCTTCTACCTGAAGGATTATATAAAAAGTACTTCTACTCCACAGTATTTATTCCAGGTTGAAGTTACATGTAAGGGTAAAGTAAGGGTTAAAGTACCACTTTTTGGAAAGAACTTTGTAGGAAACGAAGTAATTTTCTATATTAATGAAAAGTTATGGATAAGTACCAACAGATAAGGAAAGAGGCATCACACTGACTGGTTGGTTGTGTATAATGATGGCAAGTGGGAAATGCAGTGATTCTTCTAGCCTTGCAATGTACATAGAAGTTCACAAGCAAACTGAAGGACTGCACTTTAAATGAGAAATTTAAAAACATTGTAAACCACCAATTGGGGTATTCAGCAAAAATTCAAACATTAAATGTGCTACAGAGAAACTACAACAAAAACATACTTTCAGAACTAGTCATGAAAAATCTTTGCTTGTGAAGTTACTTGTAGCTGAATGTGAGATAACAAATATTTATTTTCTTTCTGAGTGTACAATGAATAGAATTCGTAATAAACAACTCCTTACTCTGGGCAAAGAAAAATAAATAAGCCTTGTGCAGCAGAACATGAGAAATAACGATTTAGGCAATGTTACTATATGATTCTAAAAGGTAGGCTTACCTGATTCATCCTGCTTACAATACTTAGCAAAGGGGGAAAGCCCACCTGAAAAAAAGTTGGCAAATGCAAACATTATCACAAACATTTTTGTTTTATGTATAACATATTAAGATTTTAATTTGTTGTTCAGACAATTGTAGTGATTTGAAAGTCTGTTCTGAACTTTGAAATTTATTAAGAAAGTATCTTCAAGAAAGTTGAACGTCCAATGAAGTATCAGAGCACCTTGCTTCTACTGTTACTTGTTCAGGTCTTGATTTTCAAAATGATGCAGTAAAGAACATGTTTGTAGGGTATCCTACAATATATCAATAACATCAAACATATGAGGAGGGTAACCACATATCACTCTGCAACAAAACACTAAGGCAGACTATGAAGAAAGCTTCCATTCTGTTTACTGAGCACAATGAAATTACTTTAGCTGAAAAGAGATGAATGAACTCTTCAAAAACACACATTAGCCACTGAAGACATAGGCTTATTTTCTCTTTCACTTAGTTTCTGCATAAAAAGAATGGACACTGGGACTTTCTGGGCTCACCAGAGCCTAGTTTCTGTTTGGCACAAAGTGGTAATAAACAGTAGGATTGTTTTTGGCAGTTAGTCTAGAAAATAGTTGCTGAAAATTAAATAGAAGTCCTATACTCACCTTTGTGTAATCAATTCCTAAATTTTCATTATCAGATAGTGCATCTATTTCTGAGTATACTCTTTCACCGAGGCAGAACTTCTTCCAGCCTTCTTCATCCTCAGACTTTGGCTGAAGTAAGTAAAAATAAATGAAAACTGTGTAATACTGTTATCTTGAAGACGCTGGAGAAAAGACTCAATAATACTCATAAATTGTTGCATGCAACTATAAAGCAAGATTAACTGTAGATTCAGTAACTGGGAAAACAAACCACAGAGTGCTGTTACGAATTCTACTCACCATAGTAACATTGCTGTCCAAATGTTGTGACCGCCAGTGATTCCTGTGCTTGTTCAGGCTCTGAGTAATTAAAAAGAAGTCAAATCCCAGTTTAAAACTGAAGTTATTTTATCCTAGCCACAAGGTCTCTTCATTATTCTTAAAATGTATGAAAAGTATATTTTATGACTTTCTATAAATCAGTAGATATATAGCCAGCACAACTGGCTAAATATTTCCCATGCCTCTTAGCAGAAATGTAATTACAATGCTCATGCTGGGTTTTTGGAAATAATGTTAAAGCTGAAGGCATTTTGAAGTCTCTTACATAAGGTTAAGCTGAGGTAGTAAGCTTTAATAGTCTTCTAGACTTTTCTTGTTAGAATCTTAAGAAAAAACCCACTTTGATTTAAAACAAAAGCACACTTAAAGCAAATACTCTGTTTCCAACAGAGGTCTCTATCTGTATCAGAAGTCTACAGTATTGTTTGAAAGAAGGCAAGTGTGGTTTCTTAGCACATTTCTTCCACCTGACAGGAATCCTATGCAAGACATATCAGCCTGCTTAACAGTTCCTTGTAGAGAGCTGTAAATGTTACATAGTGGAAGAAATCTGTCTCCCACTCCAGTTGTTACTGTAGCTCTATAGAAGACCACTAAAAAATGCTCTAAGTAACAGCAGCTGATGCAGTGGTTGAACAGGTGAATTCTGATGGAGTGGATATTAGGACAAAGTGTTTTACAGAAAGGTTGATAGAGTATTGAAATTATCTGCCTGGGGAGGTGGTGGAATCTCCATCCCATGATGTGTTTAAAAAAAGACTGGATGTGGCACTCAGTGCCATTGTTTAGTTGAGGTGTTAGGGCATGGGTTGGACTCAATGATCTTGAAGGTCTCTTCTAACCTAGTGATTGTGTGTGTGTGATGCTCTTTTTTGGTTTTAAATACTTTTTAGGATAGTCTCATATTTCACAGTGTTTATTTTGGCACAGATGAGAAGACAATTGATTTGAGCATAAAATAAATCCCTATACAGTGAATAAGCCTTTAGATGTCACTCTCCTTAGTTCGGCTAAACCCTTAGATTATGCCTAATAAACAGGATGCAATGTCATCCCTTCCAGAAACAGGGTTACCTCAATTACTGTTTACAATGTAGATGCAGTAGTATAGATCTCCTCTCCTTCACTACATTTTCCTCCCTGAAGAAAACATGGTATGTGAGCTCATGCAGAGCTCAGTTCTAGAGCAGCTCCTAGCTGGTCACACCTCAGTACTTGAGGTACTCCTACAGTGCAGCATCAATGCACTGCAAACATGCTCTTTGCAGCACTGGAGTCACAAATAACCTCTACCTACATCTTTATTATATTTTCCATTTCACCCTGTTTGAACTGTGCATAGAGAACAGTAGAATCATAGAAAGATTTGGATTGGAAGGGACCTTCACAGGCCATCTAGTCCAACCCCTTCTTCATGGGCAGGGACATCTTCAGCTAGATCAGGCTGAGAGCCACATCCAATCTGACCTTTATTGTTTTGAGGGATGGGGCATCCACTCCTCTCTGGGCAACCTGTGCCAGTGTTTCACCATCCTCATTGTAAAAAAACACCTCCTTATATCTAATCTAAATCAACCCTCCTTCACCTTAAAACTTTAGTAAAGCTTAACTGAATGGAGAACCTTTACCCTTTGAGACTGCTTAATTTTCTGTTCTTGTGTTATTTTGAGCAGGGTGCAAATGTATCGGGAAAGATTAAAGTCTATGCTAATTCTACAACCTTAAAAATGTTTTACCAAATCAGTATATCTGCTCATAATGGGTTGCCACCTCTGTAAAGAGGTTCCTAAATGGACTGTATGAATGGACTTTATGAATCTCCTGATGGGTTAGAATCCACTTGGTTCTTAGTTAACGTCAAGTCCTGCAGAACATTTCCTGCCAGCACTATTGTTTAATATAACTGCATAACATCACAGGAGTTCTTGTCCTTCCTCAACAAAGCCGTATCATTTAATCTAAATACTGACATACTTTAGTTGAAGAATTTCTTAAACATGACTCTCAAGATTTTTATCAGATGTTTAAAAGCCACACAGTATATGGTCAATTAGCTTTCAATAACTTAAAACACTATCTAGAAACATCTATCCTGATACGAAATCATAATATTTCAATACTAGATATAAAGTTATCCACTGTAAAGCACAGATATGTTCTATCTAGACTGCAAGACCCCTCACAGACGTTGTACCTGACGAACAGCTGAGAAATTTGCCACTTGCTGCTGCTGCCACTTGAGTGTTGGAGAGTATCCCTCAGGAGCAGGCTGACATCCAGAAATCTAAGAAAACACTAGCAATAATTATAATGTAAAGAGAGCTTTATAAGAAGAATCCTTAAGAACAAGAGAATTGGTAAATGTTTACTATCGGGTAAACAATATCCTTTAAATCTTCATCTAAGAAAGGTAATTTCATGACCACATCCAAGGCTGAGTTAAGATTTTGGTTTAGACAAAGTATCTTTTGTTTGACTCTTCTCATATGTACACAAGAAGGAAAACTAAGTGTTCAAAGTACATTGTCAAAGAATTACTTAAGGTCTTCCTTTCAAAAATTGTTCTGCTTTAATCTCGCTGCTCATAAAAAGCAGGATGCTGATTCCTTATCTGGGACAGATACTATCAATCTTAAGCATTCTACCTGTCAAGACAGTAAATCGAGGAAGACAAAAGACCCTAAAAACATCTAGAAAATTAAGTCTGATAGTTAAGTAGATAAAACCTCTTTAAAGATTAGCATGAAAGAGTTATTGAAGTGTTTAAGAATGTCACTACACACAGATGAGACAGATGAAGAGAATGGCAACAGAAGTTGCAAGGTCATGTCAGTATTAGAAACTTTCTTTAATAAATCTAGTAGTGAAATCTCAGATTACATCATTGTCATTCGAGAAAAGAGAACTATTTGAAATATTTTAAATATTCCTCAGAAAGGAAAGAAGTGGTGCTAGAATTTCAGCTAACTTTAGTAAAGTTTAGCTGCACCTACTACCCTTATGCTAGATACAGACCTACCCCAAAGTCAGGTATGGATATATTTTTCTTCTAAAATTTATGCAAGTTTTATGATTAAATAATTGTAAAATTTAATGCAACATTTGTTTTCCTCAGGCAGTAAAACAGTTTGCTGTGTATCAAATAGTATGGGGATTACAAATTTAATCAGTTAGAAAGACTGCTGTTACCCAGCAGTTGAGCAGGAGTTTCTTCAAATACAGACACTTAATTTTGTGGATGCTTTTAGAATCTAGCAGTGCTATTTAGTTATGCCAATGATTCCCCAAAATTGATACAAACATCATTCTAATAACATCTTTCCCCTTTTTTTTTTTCCCTCTCAAAACACGTAAAAGCTCTAAAACTTACTGAAATGTTTACTGTTGGCTTCTTTTTCAATTTTCTGGGATCTATTTGTGCCACGACCACGTCAGGACATCGAGCTGCTTCGATCCTACAAAATAAAATCAAGTGGGCCGCATTTATTCTTTCCTGTAACAGGTCGATATATATCGGATGTCTTTGAAATACTCATAAAATCATGGAGAGACCAATCGAGATCATTGAGACCAACTCCGTGCAGGACAGCCCAGAAATCACACCCTGTGCCCGAGGGCGCTGTCCAAATGTTTTTCGAACTCTTGTCAGACCTGGTTCCGTGACCGATACCCTGGGGAGCCTGTTCCAGTGCTCAGCCACCATCTGGGTGAAGAACATTTTCCTGTTATCAGCCTAAACCTCCCCTGACACCACTTCATGTCGTTTCCTCGAGTTCTGTCGCCGGTCATGAGAGGGAAGAGACCGGTGCCTGCCCCTCCTGCAGGTGTGTAAAACGCCGATTTATGCCGGCGAAGGGCAGCACCGCACGGCCGCCCTGGCGCGCCCCGACACGAAGCCCGGCCCGCGCAGCACCGGCTGCCGCACCGCTCTCGCGGGGAGGTGACGGGCCCGGGCCCGGCCCGTCCGCCTCGCCACTCACTGGACGCGCTTCAGATACTCCTGGGGCGTCCTGGGTGGCACGGTGGGGTCGAAGTCCTCGGCCAGGTCACAGTCGCCCACGGGCAACAGCCGCGGCATCAACTCCTCCAGGCCCGGCTCCATGGCCGCGCCGCCCGGCGGCAGAGCCCGGCCGGTGCCGCTGCTCTCGCGAGAGCGGAGGGCGGGGCCGGCGGTGTTCGCGCGGAGCCCTCAGCGGAGCCTCAGCGCAGCCCCGCCGCGCTCGGGCCCGCGCCCCGCTGAGGGAGCCTGGGCCTTGCGCTCTGATGTGTCGCGGTCTGGTTGCCCTGGAAACCACCGGATGGGAAAAAAGGCAATATGGCCAAAGAGCAGTGGTAGAAAGGGGTTTGCCGAGTCAGTATCCATCAAACTAGGCCTATTTTTGTGGTGAATAGGTGTAAACATTTAATAACTTCTTTCATCAGGCCTTGTGCCATTATTCTAATACACTGTTTTAGCCAAAGGTTCTTTAAAGGTCACCCATTAGAACTCTCTTATTCTACCTGTGAACACACAGTATTCATAATTATTTCCCCCTTCCTTGAAATGCTTTGAGATCTGTGGTTAAAGTCAGTTACATAAAAGTTAATGGTTATAAATTTACATAGTTCCCATTCTGGAAGGGTCAATGCCTGAGTTGTTGTTGTATGAGTTTTTCTGAAGACTATAATGTGGGAGCACCCACATGTCAGAAAGCATGGTAGCATTTGCATGAAGGGACGTTGTTTCCCAGGTAAGATAAAAAGGGGAATAATTTATACTCATTTACATTCTGTATTATGAAATTGCTGTTACACAAAATGTCAATCAATATATTATCTTTCTGATTAGTTCTGCATGCAAAGTCTATTTAGATCTGATATTTCAAACTTCTAATGTAAGTTCAAAAAAAAACAATGCTTTTTTTTTAAATCCCTGCAAATCTATATTTCAGTAGTTCTAAATAAACATCTGTCTTAACTCCTCCTCTCCAATGGCTTTTGTTTGTTTTAAGGTGTTTCCAAACGCACCTACGTGTACCAGGGAGTTTTATTTCTGAAACCCGGATCTAACGTCCTAGTTGACTATGCAACAACTGCAGTCACCACTAGAAATAAAACCTGCTTAGTTAACCTACCATAATAACTCTGGAAAGGCTGACTGATGATCAAGACAAAAACTTTGGTGAGTACAGCTATATAAAGTTCATTTCGAATACTTTAGTAATATTCAGAACTTATTTTTCCTTTTTGTTGTAAAGTCCAGAACTATGAACAGAAAGAGAAGCCACAGATATAAAAATACTTTAAATATGCTTTATATCATTAGATTAATTTTTCTGGAATTTTCCATTGATACTTTTTAAACAAAGCAACATATTTTTAATTATTACAGATAGTCTTCCACAGGCAATAACATTGTTCCTAACATATCTTATCAACAATGCTGATGCAATGGCTATTAAATATGATTTTCTTAGTGGAGAAAGAGGAAAATGAAACTGGAAATGTATTGCTGCTTAGGTATTAAGAGTACTTTTCCAAAGAAAAGATGAGCTGCATTAATGGATATGCCCCATTGGCTGAAAAAAAACCAAAAAACCAAACCCAAAAAAACCAAACCCAAAAAAGCCCCCAAAAACAACAACCGCCCCCCCCCACATTCTGCATTATGAAAAATTAAAATGCTTTCAATCTGCATTCTAGATATGAATATGGGGAGCTAACAAAATATTTTCTTATAATGAGTACATGAGTTTATATCTATTTTCTATTTTTTTTCTTTCTCCTTGATTTTCTCTCTGATTCGCATCATCATAACAGCTGCAAGACTTTTCTTTAAGTTTAGAGCATTGGATTGAGTTATTATGTAATGAAATTTAGTTGTGCCGAAGATTAATTAAAAATACTGAATAGCTTTTATTTGTAGTGAGCTTTCAGAGTACTATATTTTCCTATTTTCCCTTCTTGTCCTTTGAGTGTCTTTAAATGTCAGCTGCCTCTTTTTCTCTTATTTATAGAGCTCATCCTGCAGTTTGGACTTCGGGACTTGCCTCTTTTTAAGGTAATTTTCTGAAAATGTTTCACAAGGTATTTGAATAGTTTTGAAATTACAACACTGAGTCACTTTCTGTGCATCTGTTTGAAGTTCAGAGTGTTGTGGGGTTTTGGGGTTAGTCTTATTTTTCTTTTTTCTTTTGAGTTCAGAGTGAGGATGTTGCATGTCATTGGCAAGCTCCTACTTAATACTCGACAAATGGCAGTGAGATTTGTGGATGAGGAAATTTAAAATCCGTCCTGTAAATTCTGCTGTTGTTTAACTGTCCATGTTTTTAGACTGGAGAGGACTGGTAAACCATACTGGAGATAGTAATGGCAAAGAAATTCTATCATAATCACATTTGACATATAAGAAAAGAGAATAAGGTTGTTTTAGTAATTCGTATTTGCATTCAGGTGGTCACAGAATGTTTTCTGAGTTGCAATGAAGGAGGGAAGTCAGTCAGCAGAATGTTTTTCAGTCCTGCTCCATGTCTGGATTAGTTGCAGTAAGACCTCTCAGGAAAGACAGAGGTTACTGTTCTGGCCTTTCATGACAGGCTTGTTAAAAACAATTATTGAAACTGAAGAGTCACTATAACTTGAGTTTGGGGATAAAAAGCTGACCACACTAACAAAAAACCCAGATAAACCCATACAGCAGTGGCTATGTGATAGTTACTATAGACAGTAAAAAAACGTATTAAATATTTATAAATATGAGATAAAGGATGGTTTTAGGCCAAAAACCCCAGGAATATAATTTCAGTATATTTTTTTCCTCAGGCACTCAGAAGAAACATGTAAACAATCTTCCAGATTAAAAAGTTGCCATAAGTACACATGGTGGAAGATAAGAACAAGCAGGGTGAGCTCAAGGACTCCCGGAAGCCCGGCTGTTTCAGTCCACGGAATTTCAGAGAAATTCCGTGCCGGCCAGAGCAGCAGCGGCCAGAGCAGCGCAACCACCGCCGGGCCGCGGGCAGCCCCGGTACCAGCGGGCACAGGCGCAGCACGGGGCAGCCGAGCGCTGCGGCGCGGAGAGAAGGCAAAACTACCCCCGGTGACCGGGATGCCTTTTTTCCTGAATGGATTTGGGATTGAGATGCAGACGACCGACCTTCAGAAGAAGGACGAACAGGGCAACGAGCACACAGCCGCGAGCAGGAGCTGTCAAGGCGACGAAGAGACAGTCAAGAGCGGCATGGCTGCGGCCGGCCCCGCGGCCCTGGCTGGGGAGGCCTGCGGGCTGCCCCGGGGGCGGGGGAGCGGCGGAGCTCAGCCCGCCCCCGCTCTCTGCCCCTTGACGTGGCGCGGACTCTCCCATCAGCCATGTTGATGCGTCGGCAGCGCCGGGGCGGCTGCCAGCGGGCGGGCGGGGAGAGCGAGCACAGCGGGAGCAGCACCGACGGCCAGGACGCGGGTGAGCAGGCAGGGCAGCACCGAGGGGGCAGCGCGGGGAGTCCGAGCCGGCGGAGCTGGGGTGCCGCGGGGAGGAGAGGCGGCAGCCCCGCTCCCCGCGCTGGGAGCCCCGGGGCCACCCCGGGCCGCGGGGCCCCGCACGGCTGCCGGGCCTGGAGCGAGCGTGGTGGGAGCTCCCCGCGTCCCCTCCGTGGCAGTGGGGGATCTCCGGGTGCCCGAAACTGCTCTCGGGGCCCCCGGCCGCCTGAGGGTCCGGGGCTACCGACGGCCGCTGGTCAGCGCTGCCCGCGGCCTCCCGGGCAGGGGCTGGTTGAGCTCTCTTCCTGTGCAGCGGGGAGCGCCCGGCCGGCCGGGGCTGCCGGCTCTTCGGTAGGGCCGGCGGGGCACGGCCTTTCCACGGCCGAGGGTAAAGGGCGGCACTCTCCCGACAGCACTTGTGGTGCTCCTGTCCCGGAGCTCTGCTGTACCTACGCCGCTGTGCCACTGACGGGGCTGCCTTGCGGTATAGGTAAAGCTACAGGAAATGCAGGCCCTGCTGCGTTTGATTATGTTTCGATTTTTAAATTAAGATGGGTTATCACATACTGTGGTTGTTTAAAAAAGTTTTTTTTCATTGAGAGGTCTGAGAGAGCAGATTTGGAGGATGACTGCGTTTGAGTGGTGAAAATGTTAGCAACTTGTTTTATGTAACTATTTAAATTATTCTGCTCATGTATTTTAGTTTCTCCTTGGAACTGAAATAGATTTGTATCTGATACGTGATTTGGGCATAAAAAAATAACTAAAGGTTTATTATTAATCTCTTTTACCAGGTTGCTAGTGCCTAATAAACTGAGAGAATAGATGTGTTGTAAGAAAAGTGGGCAGTGAACTGTACTCATTTAGTGGTAGTTAAACACATGGTACTATGAGGGACTTCGATCTATCTATGCTGAAACTCTCACAATGCTGTAGAGAAAAATGTTTTGCTATTTTTTTGTATACGCATGCAAGGATTAGGGGATATTATTTCAGGGATATTCTGCATTGGGGCATAATTATCTGTGATGTATAAACGCTTAAAGGTGCTAATAGTCAACTAGTGACTCTCAATGCAATTCAAGGGTGGCTATATTTTTGACACACAGTGGAGATTGTCATGGTGCAGGATTGCAAGGTACATTCAGCCTTAGCAGTGGGAGGGAAGAGGCAAACTAGAAAAGACTTCTGTTTTTTTCTGGATATACTAATTTGCAGCAAAGGTAAAGCAGTGACACCCCAAAGTGGGAACTTTTGCTGTTCAGCTGTTCTGAAAGTCCCTTTTCTGAGGTTTTCTGAGATGAGCAGTGTGTATTTTGTGGCGTTCAGTTGTCCAAAATTTGGTGTGTAGCCTGTAGGCCAGGTTTGCTGTTATTTTAAAATGCAATACATTTCCACACCTATCTCAGAAAATGTGTCTGCATAGCTGTATGGTATCATACATACCATAACAATGGTACCAAATGTAACTTGTCAGACCAAGAGTTCCACATTTGATGAATGATGAAATAGGTAAGCATTATTGGCTCTTGAAAAGGAAGAAAAGTATAGGAGAAAAGGTGGAGGAGAATGTGATTATTAGCCACTTTTTCCTTCTGAATAGGAAATACATGCTTAATAGAAAATGACAGTATTTAACTCAGCAAATTCAAAAATCATTTATGTATCTATGTGCACGTGATTAGTCACTGTA